GAAAAAAAATCTTAGAATACGAAAACATTGGTGAATGCCACAAATTCTCCTAAATCACTCGTGCGCACAACTTAACAACAAATCTGTGCGTACGAACGGTTCTTGCATGAGGCCCATTGTTATCAAGAGAGCGCAGATTAACAGAGAGTTCATTCCAGAGCCTGGGGGCCACAGAGAAGGACCGGTCACCACGGGTCTTAAAGCGAGTGAGGGGAACCATAAGGAGATGTTGATCCTGTGAGCGGAGGTCTTGTCTGCGATCGATATAATGACATATCACAGGCATATGATATTGATTCACATCACACATATGTGGACGTTATAGATCGATACTTTCATTTTGCCTCAATATAACTGAACCACGAACCATTCAAATCCATATATCGATATAGATGTGGGAGATTGTTACACTCCTAGTGCACAATATGTCCTGAATGAGATTACATATTTACTTACAAATAGGCATAGTAAGTCCATTAGGACTCAGTCTGATTAGATTTGGGCATCAAAGGGTCAAAGGTCAAGGTCATTTATGATGATTGGTAATCTAAAACTGGCATTTTTTTCAAAGACATACATGTCAGTCTGTACATGGACGAAATGGACCAGAGAACTGGGCGCCTTCAGGAGAACTGGTTCAGAAGGACCATACCTGAGTCAAAGTCCAAGTTAAGGAACCGTTCAGACATGTCAACGAAATTAAATTCACTAGAAAGGATGTTGCAGGTTTAAACGCTCAGAACGGTTTACAAACTGAGAACGAGTCTCAGATGTGAGGTGAAACATCTTTAACTACAGTTGTTTAGTTTTCTACACTTTGTTTGGTTTCTTACATTGTTTCCCAGGTGCTGCAGCACTGCGGGTGTTAGTGTGGTTATCTGAGGCTGCAGGTCTGGAGCCATGAGGTCAGGAAGAACAACACGTTGTGAAATCTTTCACTGTGGTGAAACCTGTAGAWGTGAGCAGCAAAACAACACAACAATACATCTTTTAACTTGAACTTACAGCTAAATAACAATAAAACAACAGTCCTTCTAATTATTAAACAGTTACTGTGAATTAATGAAACTGCTATTTTAACTACAGTTGAATGTAAATAATCTAAATCTCTGACAGAAGCTGCACCTTCAGATATGAACTAAAACATGCATCTGAGGAAACAAAACAAGAATGAGAAGAATGCGCGGAAATGAAGAGATGATATAAACCTACCTGCAGGAAGGAGGTAAACAGGTAAATAAAAACTCCACGTGATCTTAAAACAACTTGTTTTACAGAATAAAACAGAGAGACTTTCAGAGAAGCAGTCTGTAAAGTTACCTCCCTGTYTTATCTTCGAACAAACCATCACACTCTGACCTAATCTGCTCTTCACTCCATGTGATCCCGTTTACTTCCGGGTTTGTATCTTGGTATGGCAAGCAAAATGATCATATAAATTGATACTAGAGTTTGAGTGGAATTTGCAGTCAAGCTACTTCTGCATACTTGGTGCTATTTGCACCAGTTTTATATAAAACATTCATTTTGATTGGGTGTGCTATGATTTTTGGATTT